TTTCTGTTGTTCAGTTGTTTTCCTCTTATAGTTGATGTGTTTCCCTAGGTTTTAGTTTGTAACCAGGATTTGTTTTCGCTTAATTGATTGATGACTATTGAACAGCAATATCCTAATGTTGCCTTCATTTATTCATTCTTATCAGTAACTAATTAATTCCTTTAACAGAAATAACTTGTAACTTGGATGGAGAGTTGTCTCATTGGCACTCATACCACATCTTCCTATATCTATAGATGTAACTTGTGTATTTTATAATGTATGACAACATGTAATCATTTATAAGGTCTTCTCAGTATAAATTTTGTTTGTAATTACTTCATTTGTCCAATATTCCAGATCTTGGATAGGTAACAGAAAAACAATGAAGCCAATGAAAAACAACTCAAATCACACTCCTTTATTTTTGTAAGTTTTAGAGTTTGCATACATGAGATGTCATTTCTGTTTTATTGGTTCCTGTAACAATGACACATTCTTTTTTTAACTCATAATAAACCATGTATTGTGATCATTGTGATACCTGATTTATATCATACAGAAGCCATCCACTTATTAAATCAGTGCATTTGAACTTGGACTGTTGAAAATTACATTTGATTTCAATACATTTATTGCCATAATTGTTCTCTTTGATGTACCAACCATTTATGTTTTATTTTTTTCAAAGCGATGCATTTAATGTATGTAATAAACATGGGAATACACTTAACTCCCAAACATCAAAAATTCTTTATTTCACTTCTGTTAGGGTCATTTGGACCTGAAAAATCTACAATGATTCCTAAAACTTGATTTTGCAAACTACTTTTAACATTGCTCAGATTCCACGAACATTTTAATATTGCAATACCTTTATTTTTAGCAAAATTTATAGTGAATTTACAAACAATATACCAAAGTTCTTTCATCATATAATGCTCCCACACTGTGTGAACTCTTGGATGAATTTTTACACCAACATAACAAAATGATTATCTTCAATATTCATATTATACCACCAAAGCCTTTTCTCATATCCTCAATTTGTACTTTAGAGAGTGTATTGTTTCAAAGGTGCATGATCTTATTTCCACATTTTACAGAAATGTCTTATAAACAGAAACAGTTTCATCCTTAATATATATCAAGGTTCTTTCAATTTCATTAAATTGAGGATTATGAAAAAACATGCAATAGAAATACTGCATAAAAGTGCATCTTCTTGCATCCAAATCTTACATAATAATTTGGTTTGTTGTGTTAATAAAAAGAAATTATGTTTAGGCTAAAAATTATTAACATATCTATTGAGACATTAAAAAATTTTCGACATTTTAATTTAAGAGAATCCTTGAAGAAACTTATTCCTTATCATCATAATAAAATCTGTTTTATTTGACACAACTCCTGTTATTGTTGTATAAATTCAGTAAAACTGGTTGGCATGATAAATTCTTATAAACTATTAAATTCAGTTATGCTTTTCACTTAAAATCAAGTGGATATATATAAATAAGGAAAGAGTTTACCATGTTAGTTATAGAAATTGGCAAATACAGTAAAAGGACCACTTTTACAATACAATCTAAAATTTCAAAAATTAGTGAAGATTACCAGAATGTTTGATAATTACCTATTTTCACACCTATTCAAGCCTCCTTGTATTCTTCAAAGTATTTTTTTTCTATGTATGACAATTTATTTATTACAGCCCACGGAGGTTCATGATAAATGTAACATGCTTTTAAATGGAATATTTACATAATTTATCAAGACTGGAATCAAACAAACAAATTCAATAAAACCATCTGTAATTAACAACATGAAATTTTATGTAATCAATGTCATTTACACAGGATGTTAAAATCCATGATACTTCTATGGCAAAAAATAAATTTCTATTGTTTACATTACAAATATGGGATTTTCTGCTGATGGAAATCAATTACTAGTGACTAATTGTAATTCTTCTAGGAATTATATAATTAACCGAATGAAATAGAACTTATTTTCCCCTTATATATCAAGACTGTTCAAATTCATTCCGTTGTGTCGTTAGACTTTAAGTCAATCTCAGGTATAGTGTAAAATCGGGGAGTTCCTGTATTTTATTTGCAAGCTAATAAGAGTATTTGTACTTCAGTTAATTAAAATTTGATACAGTGGTCATAAAACATATTTTTTGGAAATTATTTCTGTATTATGAAGACATTTACAACCACAGCACCATAGATAAGGGAATAGAATTTTAATCAGTGACAGTTTACTAAGTACATTACATAGACTTTAAGTCTAAAGTAACTTACTCCTACATAGGATTGCTCACATTTCTGATACAATTTACTTTTAAAATAAACCCATAAATACACATTTAAAAGCAATTCTCATGATGAAACTATTCAATGTTTTAACAAACTAAGTTTTAATGAGAAATTTATTTTGATTTTTGGCCTAGTTTTAAAGATCAAACTTTATATAAAGTTTGAACATTTTAAAGATGCCATTAATGATTTGATTGATTATTGGTTGCTTAACATCCAGTGGCAAATATTTCATGCATATTCAGGACGAGAACAAATTAACAATAAATACAATAGGAAGGTCCTGTAATAGAGGCCGTTCAGGATGAAGGTCAGGGAAATTTGGACTGCCACTGGAAAATGAGGGTATATTGGATAGGGATGAAAATTTTGTCTTACAACAGGCCACCTACAGACCCCTCAAACAGTTGCTGCAAGGGTTATTCACCTGCAAAGAGCCGGACAATCTCTTTACACGAGGCATCAGATTTAATGTCCCCATTCTGACCGGACGTGGCTGTGTACTTGAACATTACGCACAGTCAAAAGGAAGTCCCACTTTGGCAAGGGTTTTACTGACTATCGGAAGAAAACCTAAGTGACCCTATTTCTATTCCTCAATCACCCTTGGGTATGCAACTATTATCAGCACTTTACAATGTAGTTACAAAGACTCATCAGACCCAGAAGGGACAGGGAAGGGATACCAAGTTTTAAGACTGACAGTAATAGTAATGAAAGCTAATTTTACAACACAGTAACAAGCAGAATCAAAATCAGAGCACCATTTGGTGGCGCAAGCTAAAAATAACCACTGTAAATTACAAAGCAGGTATTTTGCAAATCATTAACAACCAACAGTAAAACCTTAAAGTGTGATTTTCATATTTGTGCCAAGTATTCTGTAACTGTTTTTTCTTCGCTTGAATTTTTTTCTACTTAACTTAAAGTACCTTATTGGCTACCAATTAATATTTAAATATTGTGCAAATTAGTGAATATAACACTTCTACACTTGTTAATTGTACTCAAACAATTAATATACAAAAGGCTTTAAACTTTATTGACAATATTTCTAAATCTCTGATATTACAGACCTGCCAGCCTTCCATATTTAAGGGGGATCTCCCACATGAGAGGCGTTACCTGATCCTAAAAATCCTGTCTTATTCAAACTGAATACCACAAGGGTGTTAAAATAGTATTTAAGCACTTATAATCTTATTCAAAAGCATACAATATCGCATTGAAAAATTTATGACATGCATGAGAGAAGCATTAGACTCTATTGAGCTTGATGTCCCCATGGAGTTTTTTCAGAAATTGGCCGTTATGAAATACTCAATTCTACACAATATGTTATTGAACAAAGAAATCAAATGCTAAAATAAATTTTATACCTAATTGTGAATAAACAATATCTTTAGGTTTTGTTTCTAGAAATAGGATAAATAAACTAAACAGATACAAGAAATTAAAAATATATTTTCAGTGCAAACTTCTTGTATAACATCAGAAGTCTATAGAAGGTCTTTTGCATATTATCATGTGAAAGAAAAAAATTGAAAATCTAACAGCAATCAACTGATGTTCATATGTTAACATATTTCATGTTGGTTGGTGCCTGAGACTGATTGATTTATAGTTTGTTTAATGCCACTTTCAGCACTATTGGCCATATTGTGGCTGTCAGTTATTTGGTGGTGGAAGTTAAAATGCCCAATTAGAACCCTTGACCTTTCGGCAGGGAAAACTGACAATCCTCCTCAATTAAGATTTAAGTAAAAATCCCACCTGCACATGCAGGGTTCAAACTGACAACCTGAGTGTTGACATACTAGTGATACAGTAGATAAACTACGAAGACCAAACAGCCACCAGGGACTCAAGTTTTCTCACTATACACAAATATTGAGTGATTTTCCCTTTACAAGAAACAATTTTTTTTCAATATGAATTTGGATTACATGTATAATAAACTGTTAACACAGAGATATGTCTCGCCTTTTTGTTATTATGATAGTAAAATGCAAATGTTAAAATTAAAGTAGCAATACTTCAACATGTAAGTTATGCAAAATATTCAAAGTCAATGAACCATTTCTGAAGGTACAGGGCCAAACAATCTCCATGGAAATAAGATGTGCCAACGCTTTTACAACTGCATACCAAATATCATTGACCTACCACTGGTGGTTCCCCATAAACTGACCTAATCACAAACTAATACATGTAAACTAAGTAAAATTTTTCAAAGTAAATAGACCATAACTTAGGAATTAGGGCCAATTAATATCCATGGAAATGAGATGTGTCAATGCTAATACAACTGCATAGCGAATACCATTGACCTATCACTAGTGGTTCCTCATAAACTGACCTAATCACAAACTAATACATTGTTGCTGCTGACACCATCACTGCCGGAAACAGCATACCTATGTCACACTTTTTGACTCCGTCAAGGCGAGACAAAAACCATACAGTTGAAAAATATAATATCATAAAAACAAACATTATTCAAATGTTTTATGTATTTTGCAAAATAAAATATTTCAATCTTCATGTTTATTCATTAAATAGGCTGTGTGTTTCTTATTCTAAAGCATCCACATTATTCACAGTTTTTAGACTAGCTGGTAAAAGATTCCACCCTATAGTGCCTCATTTATCATTTTTATCATTATCATTTTACATCATTTTTATTGCAATACTTACACTATCACTATTTATAGATACAGATCTTATGGTCACATGTTTAGTATCTGGTGGTGCTGGGGATGGTGGCTCCCTCTGGATAGTCCCACTCTTGATATGCCAGTAATATGCACCATCTTCATCTGTTAAATAATAGAAAATTTGGATATTGCATTTCACTCCCTTCATAAAGACAAAGAAAAACAAATATGAATCATTCACTGAAAATATCAATACATCTGTTTATTTTTTTTGCAAATTATCAATATTCCAGAAATTTCCTAAGTTAAAATTTGTGTTAGTCTCATTAACCATTTTGTGGGGAATGTTCATCTATTCAACGATTTTTTGTTTATGTTTTTCTATGATGAGGGCCTCAGGGAAGATTAGTTATATAGCTAACTGTGTAACCCTCTTAACATAAACTATTGTTGTTATTGTTGTATTACATTTGAATGCTGCATAGTCAAATCTTTAACAAGCACCATTTAAACAGAAATTTCCTTTAATAAATCTGTCATTTCATAATTTACCAAAACTATCCAATTAAGATGCAATAATGATATATAAATAAGCTTAATTCTACCTCACAAGAATAGGACAATTTATGAATGATTGATTGTTGGTGTTTAATACTACGTTCAGCACTTTTAACTATATTGTGGTGGCCAGTTTTTATATTTGAAGGAAGCCAGAAAGCCCTGAGAGAACCACAAACAGATCATGATAACAAACACTTTCCAAATATGAGGAAACTACACAAATATTTTACATTTCTGGTCCTTAACTTTTTGCCCCATAAGACCTTTTACTCTTCAATCTATATTACATGTCATGAGGATTTTCAGCATCATTTCTCATTATTTATAAACAATTTAAAATCATATTCTTCCAGAAAACTGCAGCCTTCAATGTAACAATGATTTTTGAATGGTGAAGTGTTGACAAAATCTTTTTTGGGGGGTTTCTCCTTTTTGTTTAATTTTGGTTTTGTTGTGTTTTATTTATACTGTTTTTGCAAGTGTTTAGTTATCCCCATTTTATAAGCATATGATAGAAGTAAAAAGCTATTATATCCACAGTGAATGTTCCACTCTGTTCTATACCTTCACATTTCTCCCATCCTGGTGGAAGTCTTTCTTCTTTCTGTTTCTTTGGATTGTCCTATATAAAAAAAATATATATATATAGATTATTTACAATGATGTTTTGTAGTATAGGTATTTTTATGGCCTCACCTGAATTAATCAGAGAAAATTAATCATGAATAACAGATGTGATGACAAAATTAAAGAGACAGCGACTAAAAAATATAATCAAACTAAAGATATAAATAATGGGGTAAGGGTTTTCAATATCCCATTCAATATAAACAAAACATTGGTTGACTTTAAAGGTCACATTCAATAATAGCAGTCAGAAAAAATTCAAAAAATCTGAAATGACAAATTCAGAGAGTGTCAGAAATGCTTAGGAATACAAGTACAAAAAATAACAATAGAAAGAGGGCTAGTACAGATGCAAAAACAACATAAATTATCAAAAACAATTGATAAGGTGAACTGGAAGGGTTAGCATATCCTTCTATAGATGCTGCAGCAAACATATTCCCCAGTAGTAGATGCCATATAAGATTCAAAAGGGAAGTAATCACTAGCGGATTTAGGGGGGTTTGGGGGGGTTCGCAAAAACCCCCCCGCTTGGAAATCTTAAAATAATTTTTTATTAATCATTTCTTGCTTTAATGTTATCTTTACTATAAATTGAATATCCAGCACTGAACAGGGTGACACTTGTCGCTACACTCCTTTCAATATACACATGTCACAATTAAATTTGCCTAAAGGGAACTTGATAATTAGAGGATCAAAGGATTTAATTAAGACAATCCAATTAAGGGTTTTATGATTAAAACGACGTTTTCTGTTAGCTTGATTTGAAGAAAATTACTTTTCACCCTATCATATCCATAAGATTGTTTTTTTAAATGACACCTGCTGAATCTAAGGATATTGCAAACTTTTATTTCACATCCGTACCTAGTGCTCAAATGTGTAGCATTCTAAATTAAAACGAGAACTGTACGGGTTAAAAAGATGCTTCAAATATGATTGGCTGCACTTTTCCCCATGCATTGTCTATTCAATTTCACAGGATGGAATTTACTGCAGATTTTGCGTTTTGTTCGCTACTGATGACAACCCCGGAAAGTTTGTTAAAAAAACCCGTTCAGAATTGGGTAAAGGCAAATGGTGAATGTTAATCTCACACAAAAAAAACCACCACCAAACAGCCTTATTAAGATCACAAGACTTTACCAACACACATAATAAGTCGGCTAGTGGAATAGATGCAAGGGCTGATGCAGCAATTGCTAAACGGGTGGATACGATCTGTAATTAAATAACTGAACAAATCTAAAAAGTTTATTTTGAGTAATCATATGCCGGGTGAACAAAAAGTGTGCCAATTATTGAAAAACATGAGGTTTGGTATAACAAGAAAACTTCTCTAATATATATTAATGTTCAAAAACGTTTCTCACAAAACCCCCCCACTTTAATCTCTGGATCCCCGCCGGGTAATTGTCTTCAATTAGTTCAGGACATGTTTCACTGAGCATATGTAAAATTTGCATGGATATTGAGCTACTGCCTTATGAAAAATTCTTCTTACAATTTAAATTGATATACACTTAACTGACAAACTAGCTGATTTGGATTAAAATCAGGTTCTACTTATTTCCTTACTTTATATTCTCATTTATTCAGCCACAGAACAATGTAAGCTGTAGGTTCTTACATACATTTGTAGTTTGTGACTGGGCACAGTACAGTTTCATTTCTTTGCTTATTTTAGAACATTATTTTATGTAACTTTTATAATTAGTATTGCCATAATCCTTTATTTATGTTTCTGTTTATAATAAAATAAATATTAAAAAGTTTCCCTTTCAGGAAATAAAAACACTTTCTATGAGAAACAATATTACTAATTGCTTCTTAAAATTTAAAAAAAAATAGCTTTCAGATAAAGTCCTATACATTGTACACGTTCATTCACTTGTTTTTGTTTTGTACACGTTCATTCACTTGTTTTTGTTTTAAAATCTATAAGTATTTTACTTTTTATCCCTTTCTGGAGACATAAATGTGAAATCCTATCCTTTAATCCATACAAAGTTCCGTTAATGATTTCATAATACAGATTTCCATTTCAATGTTTTGGCATTTCACAAACAATTAATGTCATAAGATAAGACAACAACTTTCACTTTCATCCAAACAAGGGTCAATAAAGGTGACGGCACAGACATCGCTTAATTAATTGAAAGACAACATCAATTACTTTATAGGAATTTTTAACAATTTGCTCATGGAAGAAAACAAAAAACAATTTTACGATTTTCTCAACTGTTTTGTAAGTAGAACAAAGCACATTTTCGTTAGAGTTAGCCAAAGTGTTTCTATAGTAGGAATGCCAAAAGTCAATCAAGCCCAAATCACTTTATAAATCCTAAAATACCAGATTTACATCAATAATTTCATTATATTAATTAATAAAATGCTCCGCAGGGCGCAGCTTGATACGACCGCAGAGGTCGAACCCTGAACAGTTGGGGCAAGTATGGACACAACATTCAAGCTTGATACAGCTCTGAATTTGGATTGTGATTAAATATTTGACACAGCATAGGTTTCTGACAGAATGAATGTGGTCTAAGAACTTAAAATTTTTAAATTGGACATTCACCTATTATGGTCCAATATCCAAAATCTAAATACATGGTTAGATTCAGCATATCAAAGAACCCCAAGAATTCAATTTTTGATGAAATCAAACAAAGTTTAATTTTGGACCCTTTTGACCTCAATGTGGACAAAGTTGATAATGGGGCCCAGAAATCAAAAATCTAAATACATGGTTAGATTCAGCATATCAAAGAACCCCATATATTCAATTTTTGTTGAAATCAAACAAAGTTTAATTTTGGACCCCGATTTGGACCAACTTGAAAACTGGGCCCATAATCAAAAATCTAAATACATGTTTAGATTCAGCATATCAAAGAACCCTAAGAATTCAATTTTTGTTAAAATCAAACTAAGTTTAATTTTGGACCCTTTGGACCTTAATGTAGACCAATTTGAAAACGGAACCAAAAATTAAGAATCTAAATACACAGTTAGATTCGGCATATCAAAGAACCCCAATAATTCAATTTTTGATGAAATCAAACAAAGTTTAATTTTGGACCCTTTGGACCTCAATGTGGACCAATTTAAAAACGGGGCCCAAAATCCAAAAACTTAATACACGGTTAGAATCAGCATATTTAAGAACCCCAAGAATTCAAGAATAAAACCCCATTGAAATTGGTCAAGAAATAAGCAACTTATACGAAGTATCTTCTTTTGCACAATACTGTGCAATTGAATATTTCTTGCAATTGCGCAATACTGTACAATTGACAATTTCTTGCTATTGCGCAATATTGTGCTATTGGATATTTCTTGCTATTGCACAATACTGTGCAATTGAAGATTTCTTGCTATTGCACAACACTGTGCAATTGAAGATTTCTTGCTATTATGCAATACTGTGCAATTGAAAATTTCTTGCTATTGCACAATACTTATTATATAATAATTTACACATCCTGTTTGGTGTGTATCTCCTACCATATCATCATTATTTGCTTTTAAATATAAAACAGAGAAATAACCAACTTAAAATGGAAAATTTTAAAAGAAAAAAAAAGGAAAAAAAGAAAAAAAGGAAAAAAAAAAAAATCCCCCCCCCCCAAATTTTATGAACCCCCTTATGATTCATCACCCCCAAACTCAATCCAAGCCTTCCCTTTGTGGTATGGTACCTTGCAGTACAATTTCAGAGAGATCCATACACTTGAACACAAGTTATTGTCTGGAAACTAGAAAAATGCTTATTTTTGGCCCCTTTTTGGCCCCTTATTCCTAAACATTTTGGGCAATTACCCCCAAACTCAATTCCGGCTTTCCCTTTGTGATATGGAACCTTGTAGTACAATTTCAGAAAGATCCATACACTTACACACAAGTTATTATCATGAAACTAGAAAAATGCTTGTTTTTTGCCCCTTTTTTGGCCCCTAATTCCTAATATTTTGAGGCAATTACCCCCAAAATCAATCCCAGCATTCCCTGTGTGATATGGAACCTTGTGGTACAATTTCAGAGAGATCCATACACTTGAACACAAGTTATTGTCTGGAAACTAGAAAAATGCTTATTTTTGGCCCCTTTTTGGCCCGTTATTCCTAAACATTTTGGGCAATTACCCCCAAACTCAATTCCAGCTTTCCCTTTGTGATATGGAGCCTTGTAGTACAATTTCAGAAAGATCCATACACTTACACACAAGTTATTGTCATGAAACTAGAAAAATGCTTGTTTTTTGCCCCTTTTTTGGCCCCTAATTCCTAATATTTTGAGGCAATTACCCCCAAAATCAATCCCAGCATTCCCTGTGTGATATGGAACCTTGTGGAACAATGTCAGAGAGATCCATACACTAACACACAAGTTATGTCTGGAAGTTACAAAAATGCTTATTTTTGGCCCCTTTTTGGCCCCTAATTCCTTAACTGTTGGTACCATAACCCCCAAAATCAATCCCAACCTTCCTTTTGAGGTATTGAACCTTATGGTAAAATTTCATAGAGATCCATTCACTTAAACTAAAGTTAGAGTGCGAAAACCAATGTGTCTTCGGACGACGACGACGACGCCAACGTCATACCAATATACGACCGCAAATAAAAAGGTAGGGTCTGTTATCCTCTTAAATGCTCTTTCCATTTATATGTTAATATGTTGGCTAGTAATTTTATGACAATGTAACTATGCTTGGATTATTCTATTACGAACATTAATGAGACAGCAACCCAAAAATACAAAAATACAGTAACTATGTCACCATATAGCTTGGCCAAAGAATAACGAAGTCATAATTGTCTGAAGCTTTCTTATTAGACAAGTAAAGTACACCCTAGTTTGTTGATTTCATTTACAGATGTAGGATATGTATATACCAGGGTATATTCTCAATTGTTTTCTTAAATGTTCATTTTGAAGAAAAAAAATATCAATGTGCCTTAATGAAGACTCTTGAAAATTAACCAAGAAGTTACAAAAAAATAAATTTCATACCAAATCTTTTTACCTATATTTGAGACATTTCATAACTTGGTGCATTCTGTTATGAAATTACATTGTGATACCAAGATACCTAAATCTTAAAAAAAAAAGAACCATGAATATACCAGGATTAAAATTGTGCACGTCAGACTCGCTTTTCGTCTACAAAAGACTCATCAGTGATGCTGGAACATTAATCTCTAATATTAACCTTGCAGCATTTGGACCTATTTTTTACAGTTCATATCTTGATGTATTTTGTGGTGAAATTACATTAAGATATTACGTCTTTTTATCATCTTACTACACTTTACCAGAAGACAAGCGGACACACTAAATGAATGACAATATTTTCCGAGAGTGCAATCAATGTTTACCTCTTCTGTTGGAGTGTTATCTTCACTACCACTGTTCTCTATTCTCAGCAGACCGAGGTCAGAGCTGGTAGATTTACACACCACTGCATAGATGTCATCATTCACTGGACCATGTACGTGACTGCTTCCATCATCTGATCTAGCATCTGATTGGATACCACTATCATTAGAGTCGGGAGAGTTGATGTCAAATCCAAACCTGAAATTGACAATAAATTTTATAAATGTTGTCTGGTAAAAGTATAAATTAAAAGTCAATTCTACTGGTGTTTTAATTTGTATTTCTTATTACAAAACATTTTAATTTTTAGACTATCAATTTTCAGTTCAGAATTATACAGGTTCATTTGTACAGCAATTAATTTGTGTGACGATAATAAAATAGTTTCACAAGATAAAATTAATTAAAAGTTTGTTGGTTGTTAATTAATTTTTCACACTATAAAAGTATGTTGGTTTTAATTTTGTATATTTAAGGAAGAATGCTCAATGGGTTTAGTGATATATTTTTCTGTTTCAAAACAATTGTAGAAAGTCTGCTATATATTTTTGCATTAATAAAAGATATTTTTAACAATAGGTTTCAGCATAACCTGAACTTAAACTAACCTCAAATGGACAAAACCTGTAGCAGAGATGTTTAAAATATAAATTTATCGTGACAATACAAGATCTGAATAAGATTATAAAATGAAGACATTGTCATCCATCCATAAAATTCAACATCATCACCTGGGTATCCATTCCACATTAAGTAGCAGTTAAAGACTCATTTCTTTGATACCTTTTCATTATTTTTTTATCAATGCCAGTATGTTATAGACTACTTATTGGCATTTAACAGCTCACTTGGCAATTGTGTTGCCTTAGTACTAGAACAATGACCAGGCCTTCATTTTACAAAAAATCTTAGATAAGAGTTACTCATCAGTCATGAACAATTCAGTACACTTACAATCGATTTTAGTTGTATTGATTGTTTTGTGTTAAACACCACTTTCAGCACTATTGGCTATTTTGTGGCGGTCAGTTTTTTTTGGTGGGTGAAGCCAGAGTGCCCTGAGAGAACCATAACCTTTGGAAAGAAAACTGTCAATCGTGCAGGGTTTGAACTGACAACCTCAGTGTTGACAGGCTAGTGATAGAGTAGTTGGACTACTATCAGTGTTGTCAGGCTAGTGATAGAGTAGTTGGACTACTATCAGTGTTGACAGGCTAGTGATAGAGTAGTTAGACTACTATCAGTGTTGACAGGCTAGTGATAGAGTAGTTAGACTACTATCAGTGTTGACAGGCTAGTGATAGAGTAGTTGGACTACTATCAGTGTTGACAGGCTAGTGATAGAGTAGTTGGACTACTATCAGTGTTGACAGGCTAGTGATAGAGTAGGATTAGAACTCACAACCTCAGTGTTGACAGGCTAGTGATAGAGTAGGATTAGAACTCACAACCTCAGTGTTGACAGGCTAGTGATAGAGTAGGTTTAGAACTCACAACCTCAGTGTTGACAGGCTAGTGATAGAGTAGTTGGACTACTATCCATGTTGACAGGCTAGTGATAGAGTAGTTGGACTACTATCAGTGTTGACAAGCTAGTGATAGAGTAGTTAGACTACTATCAGTGTTGACAGGCTAGTGATAGAGTAGTTGGACTACTATCAGTGTTGACAGGCTAGTGATAGAGTAGGGTTTGAACTCACAACCTCAGTGTTGACAGGCTAGTGAAAGAGTAGGATTAGAACTCACAACCTCAGTGTTGACAGGCTAGTGATAGAGTAGTTGGACTACTATCCGTGTTGACAGGCTATTGATAGAGTAGTTGGACTACTAAGACCACACAACTACCAATCCACTATATTTAAGATTTTTTGTAGACTCACATCAAATAAGGAGGCTTCACAGAATTTCTACAATTTAAATCTAAGGAAGAAATGAAGCAGAAATAACTGATAGAATAACAATAGCTTTTCAGTTATTTTTTTAAGAAAGCATGAGCAATGGATGTGCACACTTCAATACTCTAGAAAATACCAGTCATCAAATTTGGATGTCTCTTAACACTTGTCCTTGATTGATTGATTGATTATTGATTGTTTAATGTCCAGTATCTACTAGTAGTATCTGAATTGTTAATAACCTGAGACTGGGAGGATACTTTTGATCACCACTTGAAAACAAGGCTATATTGAGTAGTGTAAGAAATTAAGACATTGGTCTACTAGGAACCAAGTGAGAGATGCCATTCGTATATTTTTTTTTCATTCAATAAGTTTTGTACTCTCAACTGCTTATGGAATGACTGTGACTACAAATGTATGCATAGTTCAAAATAAATACCCAATTTTGATTATTGCAGAGTCTACTAAAACTAACTTTGTAAACTTGCTACCCCCTGTTGGTGTATCTTCCTCTGTATCAGGAGTCTCCAGAATCTTCAGCTGTTTTTCCTTGGCCTTAGCTTCTAACATTGTATAGTATCCCATAAACCCTTGCTTCTTCCTGTTTCTACTTGTTTTAGAATTATCCAACTCTTCAAATCCACTGTCACTATTCTTCAAGTTTTTTTTGTTTTCACTTAGGACTTTTTCGTTTTTTCCACGATCTTTGTTTTCAATTTCTTCATCTGTGGACGTAGCAACCTCATCATCTGAAGAATTGACATCATTCAAAAGATGTCTTTTCTTTTGTGACAATTTGTCTAGTTCCTTATTTTCTACTTTCATGTCTTTTGTTTCTTGACCGTTCTGTTTATCAAGAAGAGAAATGGTGCTCACATCAACCTCGTCATAAATGTTGTTATCGTTATGGTAAACGTCTTTATTCAGTTTGTCGTTACTGTTCTTTCTATCTTCGTAGTGATAATTTGGATTTGCAAAGCTCAAATAGGTGTTTTCCACGTCTGAAAATATAAGAGATTTGTTAAAAGGGGAATTCCCAAGAAATATTTTCTGGTAAAATATATAAAACTTAGAAAATTTATTTAATTTCTGATCATGCAATGATTTTATATATATATATATATATATATACAACTCGTCTAAACATCAGCCCAACAATGTTAGATCTGTAAATTTGCTTTCGCAAATTTTTTGTTCTTCCCTCGCCGGGATTCGAACTCATGCTACTGAGATATCGTGACACCAAATATATATATATATGCAGTGCTCTAGCATAATCTTTCCCATCAACATTGCAACCTCAGCAAAAAGTGAGAGAAGAAAAATATCTATCACTGCAGAATATCAAATACATATAGTCATTTTGTCCCTGAAATAGTTATTTGGATGAATGAGTCATAATAATGAAAATCTAAATGTTGACACTTGATAAGGAGGCAATGAAATGTAAGTTATATACACTTGTTCAGAAATAACGTGAACGCATTATTTTGTCTGCAGTCTAAATCAAGGTTTATCTTTATTTTATGACCTTTTTTGATGAAATCACCAGCGTGTATGCCCTTAAACTCATAAATATTCTTGTGATTTGAAATTGATCGACTTGACACACTTTTTTCATTTCTTATTTTTGCATGTCTCTCAAAGACGAGAATCTTAAGATATTATCTACAAATGGCATTATAATCTTTTTGTCTGCACATTGACAATACTTTTAAGAATCTTTATGAGCTGGAAACATGCAATAATTCAAAGGATTGTGAGACAAAAGCACTAAAGTAGAAAGACAAGTATTGGGTTTAAACCTTACTTACAAGTATTTCTATGGAATCATGTTGAGTGCGTAGATACTTAATATTCCGGGTTTTTTCTCACAGACATTGTTAGTTAAAGAATAGTTTTGGTTCCAGTTTCTTAATATTTTTATTTTCTTTATCCTTAAATATTATGTAAAGGTTGAGATATTTGCATATAAATGCACAAAGAAAATGGTACTGTGATTTCATTATCATTCGTGGGGTACCAATGAGGCCCCTCATGGTGGTGTCCAAGTAATCACATAATCACAAATTTTTTGCCAATATAATCACATAATCATTTAATATTTCTTTAAACAAGATAATCAAATAATCAAAAATACAGTCCTAGATTATCAAATAAACATGAAATATTTGGTCTGGTAATCAAATAATCACTATAAAAACTGCCAAGTAATCACATAATCAAAAACCCCATGTGGAGGCTCACCAATTTTAGGGGATTTCCTGGGAAAAGATTAACCATGAATTCAAATGTTCAACGAAGTAATAATTATCTATAGGCTTTTATAGCCGACTATATGGTATAGGTTTATCTCATTGTTGAAGGCTGTACGGTTACCTATAAGTTCTTCTATCCACTTCATTTGAACTTTGGTGGATAGTTGTCTGATTGGCAATCATACCACATCTCCTTATTCTTATATAGTATAAAGACTTTGGAAAATCCATGAAATGAAATATCCATGAATATACAATTTTTCCTTAATCCACAAAAGTTGGTATCACAAAAATAAATAAAACAAGAAATGATTGTAACAGGATGCTGTTACGAAGTCTCCCAAACGAAGCTCCCATAATTCGTAATTCCCAGGGTCGCCTAAAATTGGTTTGGTCCAGTAAAGTTATATGCATTAGTGATGCCTGGGGACTAACCCTGTATATCATTCAAATCATCTTGGCATGACAAACCAGAATATATATGGTTTAGGGGTGGGGATCTCGACCATTTACAAGATATTAGAACTTTCTCAAATGGCAGGGGGTCGGGATGACCCCTAGGGACTAACCTTGTATATCATTCAAACCATCTTAGCATGACAAACCAGAATATATATGGTCTAGGGGTGGGGATCTTGACAACTTACAAGATATTAGAACTTTCTTAAATGGCATGGGGTGGGGGTGACCCCTGGGGACTAACCCTGTATTACATTTGATGTGCTTTATCATGACAAACCAGAATATATATGGTTAAGGGGTGGGGATCTCGACCATTTACAAGATATTAGAACTTTCTCAAAAGGCAGGGGGTCTGGATGACCCCTGGGGACTAACCATGTATATCATTCAAACCATCTTAGCATGACAAACCAGAATATATATGGTTTAGGGGTGGGGATCTTGACCACTTACAAGATATTAGAACTTTCTTAAATGGCAGGTAGTGGGGGTGACCCCTGAGGACTAACCCTGTATTTCATTTGATGTGCTTTATCATGACAAACCAGAATATATATGGTTTAGGGGTGGGGATCTCGACCATTTACAAGATATTAGAACTTTCTCAAATGGCAGGGGGTCGGGATGACCCCTGGGGACTAACCCTGTATATCATTCAAACCATATTAGCATGACAAACCAGAATATATATGGTTTAGGGGTGGGGATCTTGACCACTTACAAGATATTAGAACTTTTTTAAATGGCATGGGGTGGGGGTGACCCCTGGGGACTAACCCTGTATTTCATTTGATGTGCTTTATCATGACAAAACAGAATATATATGGTTTAGGGGTGGGGATCTCAACCATTTACAAGATATTAGAACTTTCTCAAATGGCAGGGGGTCAGGATGACCCCTGGGGACTAACCCTGTATATCATTCAAACCATCTTAGCATGACAAACCAAAATATATATGGTTTAGGGGTGGGGATCTTGACCACTTACAAGGTATTAGAATTTTCTTTAATGGCAGGGGGTGGGGGTGACCCCTGGGGACTAACCCTGTATTTCATTTAATGGGCTTTATCATTTAGAACATTTTCAATTAAAAAGATTGTGTCTATCACAAACAGTTTTCAATTTATAATCATTTGAAAATTTTTAAAAATAAAATCCCATAGGGTTCTATAGTAAAACCCTCTTTTCTTTTTGCCCCTCAAAGTACCCCTTTATAAACCCCATTGCACAAACAAAACCCTGATTGCACCACTAGACATGTTAGTCTAACATATTGTGAAACCCTAAGTTAATTTGACAAGCGGTTTTGGAGAACGGGTGCGGACAAGTTCAAATTTAAAAGCGGCGGAAGAAGAAGAAGAATAATAATAATAATAAGAACTGAGCAAAAACAATAAGTCTTCCAAAACTTCGTTTGGGAGACTTAACTACAGAATATACAATTGCCTAACTTGTAAAAAGACTTTACACAAGTTTAACTTTACAAAATATAGGTAGAGCATCAACTGAGGGAACAGAAAAGTTTAAAATGTATAAATGTAAAAACTGCCTGACAGATACATCTGTGCAGTTATGCAATTTCTTTGTATTTCTTCAGACTGGCTGTTAACAATGGAATGCATATTTATTTTTACATATTGATAGTTTTTTCCCATGTCATGCCAAAACAGTCTGATGAGAATAATTATTAGTTTGCACAAAACATTATTTCTGAAATAAACAGAGGTTAGTCTATACTGGCAGACATTTTGATTCTTTCAGAAGACAACTGCAGGGAGTACTGTTTGTCTAGAAATAACAGATAGCTAATCAACAATGAAGAGTGGTTAGTCTCATGGTTTTGCATGGGCTTTTTCAATAAATATTCATTAGAATACATACAAAAACTTGACAACACATTAATGGTAAATAATAAATGTACATGTAATGTCCTGCACAAGTTTGTAGACAAGTTCATTGACAGGTCAGTTACTCAGGTAATAAAGGGAGTGTTTACTGACTTCTCAATTGTAAGTGTTATTAATATTTCAGTATTATATTTGAAAAATGATTATATTCCAACCATTTTCTAAAATGTAAATAGATTTGCAGAAAGAAAAAATCTGTATTTTACAGATTATGTCTGACCTTGAATGACTTCCCATTAATTAGATTATCCTGGGGTAGGGAAATAATATGCCTTTCTGTGGACTGCTACCTTGTGAGATACCATTTCCAAAAAAAAACCAACTCAAAGCACATCGGATAATTAGTATCTTCACATTATTTTAACATATGTTATACGTTATAGTCCTGGGTATATAACATACAAATGTTATATTTCCTGCTGGACATTGAGCACCCACCCAGCAATTATTCAATTGTTATTGGTCAATAAAATCTGGATACAATTTGGTCAAACATTTTCTGAGTTTAGTAAATGACTGTTTAATCTTAAAGCCCATAATGTATTCACAGACAAAAAAAAAGAAATCTTAGTTTTATTTATTTTAAGCAATTTTGATGCTTTTGCAAAAGATAACAAGGTTAACAATCTTTATAAACCTTGTGATACTTTTAGTAAAAAGAATAAATTGTAAGTATATTTGATGAAAAAATTTAAAGCAATAAGTGCTCATGTTGAGTGCTCAATAAAATCAAAAGAGAGACATTGTCTTTTGTCCTTAAGGGTATTTAGTTTAGATGGCAGATGTTTGGTTGTCTTCATTCAATTTATTTCCCACCTATTCAGACTCAAGGTTGATAATGACCTTGACAAAAATCGTTCAAGACCTCTAATTGTCTCTGAGTGGTTTTTTTGTTTTTAAAGTTGCTGAGGACAACTATTCCGTACTTTATAGAAATCTTACACCTCTTGATAAGGTTAAAGGGTCAAGATCCTTACAAATCTATCAGATATTCAAGAAAAGGAAGTTAACAATGACATTGCAAAAGAAACAAACACAATTACCTTTGAATAATTAGCAAGATAATACCCAAATGCAATAAAAGTGTTGTATATTAAGAAAAGAAATCTTGCCTCAAAGGTCAGTACAGAAAACTATTTGAAATGATATACTGTTTGACGTAGGACCCTCTTTTATGACAAATGTAGACTTCCTTGTATTACTTTTTAAATAATTAACTAACCAAAACACAACTAGACAAATAACTGTCTAACTCCAACTCATTGATCCAGATAATCTTAAAACAGGATTTTCCCTTTAAGAGGGATCATCTATGACCACTAGGTATAGATATCATATAATAACATCATACAGCCAACATCCAGAGGTTTGA